AATAGAAATGCTTTCCAGCAGTGTATCGACCTTGTTCAGATTACACAAGTGGTGTGACCCTGCACGCAGCAATGGCATGTGAAGACCATTCTTAACAGCAGAGCAGAGTAACCAGTTCTTATTGTCATAATGAGGTTAGTGTAACTAGATCAGGGCTGCTTAACTTGTGGAGTTTGATCTGCAGCAGATAGGCAACTGTCATCCTACACCTTAGAGCACTCCCATCACCTCAAAGCTCCCCTTCAGGGACAGATTTAATTTCTCAGGCCACACAGCCAGCACTCTGGCTGCAATCCAGTTACACTAAATGGCTTGAGAAGTGTATCCTGGGACAATTTCACTTGCTAATTACCAAAAAGTAGTCTAACACAAGTGCTTCCCTCGACACATTTCTTCTGTCCTCAGACTTTGCTGAACACCTACAGAAGGCAAAAGCATAAGTTCTCACACACATAGCAATTCTGTTTTACCACAACATTCCAGTTCTTCTCCTATCATGATTTGACAGATACCTTGAAGAACTCTCACCAAAAGGCTGAGCTACAAATCAGTCCTGATTGCAGGAAGGGGATCATGACAATGTATTCCTTATCTTCTGGTAGTCTACAAATGACGCAAGTTTCCTTCCAAGGGAGGAGTACTACCCTCTTATTTTTGAGAACTATAAAGTAACACCACAAAACTTTATCCTCTGATAATCTCAAGAATTTCTTCTGTTGCCCTAAGTAGGATCCACTATTTAAAAAGTATTTCTTCAGATGGTTCCCTGAAAAAGGATAGGGATGAAGGAACTAGGTAGTTTGATGTCAAATAGAGAGTCATGTATGTGATGGTGTCCACAATCTACTGTGTTGTGACTTTTGGGACCTGAGGTGGGGGTCCAGAGAGACTGCATTTGATTCTTGACTCTCTAGATTAGTCATCAGCACTGTCACACTGACTGCTTTTACACTGAAGGCAGAGGAGACAACTGGCACATTGTGGTGTATTGCCAATTAGCGGAAACCTCATTTTTTCTTTTTGCAGCTTACCAGAACTGCAGTAGAAAAATCAGCAAAACTACAGAACTATGGCCTGAACACTCATCTATTTTCTTTTGGGTGTTAAGGCTATTCTTATGTCACCCTACAGTCATCAAAATTTAATTAACCCACAGCAGATCAAACTTCTCAAATGGCAGAACCTCTTAGAAGTCTACACCACTTAGATGTGCACCTATTAGCCATTACAACTGTTGCAAAACCACTGCAGCATTTAGTGAATGGGAAATGATGCTGTCGGTGATAATATATCTTATGAATGACAGAAGGCCAACTGAAGAAAGACTGAAGATATGTACACAATCTATTTTCAAACTTTACATCCCTGAAAGTCAAGGACACATATGAAGCCTTACAGACTTCTCATCACTTACACAGATTTCAAAATTAAGTATACGACCATGGAGCATTTTCCTGGGGGATTCTCTCAAGAACTAAAGTGTATTGGATAGGATTATTCTAACTATAGTTTTTCACTACAATGTCAGGTACGTTTGAGCTAACCAACTGTAGAGAAACAGGCCTTCTAATAGCCAAGTTTATCCTCTTCTAAGGTAAATTTCTAAAATAGGTCAGATTGATATTGTTGCTTACTCATAGCAATATGAGTAAGATATGCCATGTATCTGTTCCACAAAGCTTTCCCCAGGGAAATAAGTATGAACAATGGAGACTGCAGGGGATAGTTCTTGGGTGTATCAGAAAGAGCCCCCCTCTGCTCTCTGAAGCCTCAAACACCATTTACATAAGAAATAACTGTATAATTTCTTTTTTCTTTTTCTTGATTGTAACCAGTGACTTAGGGAGCACATCTGCACAAAGCTTGGAAAAATACAATGCAGAAAAACATAAAAATAGCCATACCAGTCAACCAAATATACCATCTTCAACAAAAGATAATGCATATTGAAAGGTTTAAAAAGTTAAACAAAAAGCAATAGCTCCTGAGAATGCTCTCCCAGCATTGCACAGTCTGCACCTCAACTTCCTGAAATGTAGGAGACATCTTTGTATATAACAGAGTTTGGAGTATTTTTATTCCTTCACTTCATTCGGTTGCCTTTGAATCTATGAACATTTTTAGTATTCAGAACATCCCAGAAAAAGAAGCACAAAAATAACAAGACACGCACAAATTTACATAGCTCTTGATGCACCAACTGAGAGACAGATTAGGTTAACACCATTCACAACATGAGGAAAATTAAGTGATTCTAGGTCCAGAAAGGAGCTAATAATTCCATATAACACTGTACCATCTGCACAGACATGACAAATCTGACTAGCATAAACTGGGTGGCTGGATCTCAGTTTCTTCTAGTTGTGCATGTACAAGATATTTTGTTTGCCCATTTTATTTTTTTTTTTTAAACAGCTTTTGGTTTTGCCAGTTTCAGATTCCACGGTAGTTCATTTTTAATTTGCAACAACAGTATGGCTTTTATGTAGTCTGAATTAAAGGAGTTATAATGTTCAGGAAAAGTACAGTGTCTTGTTATTAAATATGATCTGACTGTTGAGCCTTACATAAACTAGCAAGAGCTTTGGGATTTGGCCTGACAGTGAATCTGCAAGGCACTAAGCAAAAAAAACCCAAACAGTATTAACCATGGAAACTGTAATAACAACTTGTCCTGGAAAGCAGTGTAGCCTGATAATTTTAAAGAAAGATAACATCAGAGAAGGAGCTACGGAAAGAGCCAAGGGAAAACACAGTTTCATTCTAAATCAATCTCATTCAATCTACGATGTTTTATAATAACTCCTTCCATTAATTCACATCTGGGTGCACAGTAAAAACTGTCTAGCTGGATCAAATCAAAGGTTTCTCAAGTTAAGTATATGGCTACAATTGTGGCAACAACAGATGTCTACAGAAAAGTACCACAGGGCAACCATAAAGACTTCTCCAGTGAGTTTTCCAGGCTTCAGCATCTTGGAGCTCAAGAACTTTCAGACAACCATCAGTGACTGTCTGATATACTCCATGGATTTTTATTCCACTTTCTAATAACTTCAGATTGTTTAAATCATGAGGCAGAGTGTTCGAACTGTAATCATGTAATAGAAAAAACGAGCCCTTTCTATCCTTTTGGAACTTGCTAGCAGAAAGGTTTGACATTCGAGTTCGCACACTGAAAAGGCAAGTAACATAAACAAATCCCTATTAATCTTTTCTGTTCCATTCATGACTGCATAAAGCACAGAATAGGGCATATTTAATCTCAGTTGTGCCTTTTTCAAATTGAAGTCCACATTGTCACAACTTAATTGGAAGATGCCCAATGCTCTTGATCACTCTCAACACCTCCTCTGAACCTTTTCCAGTAATATTAGATACACTTCAAGATGTGGGAACCAGAACTGTATACATCATTCAAGATGCAGCAAAATACGGTTTCATTAATAATAATGACACTAAAATGCTTGTGCTTTGTTCACTATTCTCTTCCTAATAATTCCTAAATTCCATTTCTTTAACTGGTACTTACCAGTGAGTGTATGTTTTCATCGATCTACAATTCCAAGATCACTTTCCTGAACAGTAACAGTTAGTCTGGAGTCCAACATGAAAAATGTAACATTTGCTTTGTTTTCCCTGTTCCTCTGCATTGCTTTACTGTTACTTTCTCTGACTTTTACATACCACTTTATGGTTCAGTCCCTCAATATTGCAAAGTCCTTTGAATATCTTTGCAGCCTCCTCTCAGTTTTTCTACTACATATAACTTAGCATCAGCAGCAAATAGCATTATTTTAACTCACCTCTTTGGTAATATTATATATTTACCTCCCATTTAAAAAAAAAAACAAAAACAAAAACCAAAACAAAACAAAAAAAAACCACCAACAACAAAAAAAACAAACCACAATTTGAGACAGAAATGGTAAGTAAAAAGACAGTTTCATAATTCCATATCTTGTTACAGATTTTAAATCTGTCAGTTGAAGTGAAACTCTGCTTCTTTCAGTACTTTGAAATCTGGATAATTAAAAAATAAACTAAACCTTCTAACATTACTAAAAAATGTTGCATACATATGAAAACAGCATGTCAACCAATAAAGTGCAATATTGAAATTCTAAGCCTCTCACTGAAACAGCTGCCTTTAAAAGGCGTACTTTTTATGGCACTAAAAGAACAGACACTTGAAGTACATGATGAAAAGGAACCTAAATTGACAGAATTGAGGGCTGAGAATTTAAATAATGATGCTAAAGATACCACTGGGGGGAAGAAAAAAAAAAATATCAGTGAAGTTCACTAACACATGTATCTGGAGAGTTTAATTTGTTTATGTATTAACTGGCTTCCATGTATATGCAGAAAATCTACTATTATTTCAACTGTTACTATGGAACAGAAAAAAAAATAAAAATCAGGAAAGGCCAAAGGAGTAGGAACTCCAGTAACACAGTTTCCTCAGTGTTATGAGGGCTATCTTCTATACTGAAGATGCTGGATATTAGACTAGTAGACTTCCTCTGAAAGCAATAAACATGTACAGCTGCCTTAATTTGCACACTGACATCCTGAAACGAAGTGAAAATTACCATTTTGAATACACAGGTAGGCTGACACGGTTTCTTAGCTGTGGCTATTTCCAAGTCATTACTTAGAGGTCAGTGGTGGGTATCTCAAAGCTCTACCAAGTGGCTCATCAAAAGCATAAGAGCTCTTTTCCAGGCTTGCAGACCACAAAGTGCACAGTTAAACAAGTGGCTTCCTTTGGTTCTGCATAGCCACCCCTTCTAGGGAAAAAAAAACTTAACCAAACAAGCACATCTGCAGAGAATACTGGCATGTGCAGGTAAGATGCATGGCAGTCCAGGTAAGAGAAATTCATTTTTTAACAGAAGTGTTCTATCATCCCATTTCTGTATATAATTACAGATAAGCCACTGACATAATGATAACTTCCTGTGAGTCAGATTACATATCAATATACAAGAACATACCTTTTCGCCAGGAAGACCAGCAACACCATCCTCTCCTTTTGCACCCATTTCACCCTAAAAAACAAATTACTCACTTAGAAGTTTTAAAGACTTCTGACGTTAACAACACTCAGGTCATATCTGATTCAACAGAAAAGCATCTTCTACCCTGTTTTTGCCTTGCTTCGTAATGTAACCACTGTAGAGGAGGATGCCTTACATGTAACACTAATATCAGACAAAATAAATACATTTTAAACCACCTATAAAGTCAGTTAAGACCCTCATCTGAAAAATACTCGTACATGCACATTTCCATAAAAAGCAGGTCTGTTGATTTCAATGGAATTCACTGTGACAGTAAAGCCAAGTGGGTCCATTTTCACTGGGTTGTATGTGTTCCACACTGAGAAAGCTCAACATGTAATACAAGTTTGTTTTGTCTGAAAGTCATGTGCCCACAGTATTTTTAAAGGACACTATCTAAATTCAGTTCCTCCCTCCCTCTTTTACCCCCTCAGAGAAACCAAACCCCAAACCATAAACAATCTATAAGAAAATTTTAGTTTTAAGAGACAAATGACTGATTGATCAGGTGAGGTATGGAAGATCCCAGCAGCTGTAAACTGGACCATGATTCTTAAAAATGACTGAAGAAAACATCAAACAGATTTTGCTTAATAATGTCAAGTATAAGGGTTACAAAGTTTAAAATAAAAATTGGGTGGATGTTAAAAGGATATAACAAAAGTGCTGAAACCATATTATAATCTTCATTTAAAACCAAAACATTAGGTTTGTCTACTTGTACCTAGAAGAGAATGTTCTCTAGCAAACAGAAAATGCCACAGTCTTTATTTGGAGTAATCCAATGCTTCATAAGGAAAATATCACTGGTTTAAAAAGAAATAACTATCAAATTGTTCTTTTAGAGAAAGGGTTGCACGAAGAAGCAGAAGAGCCATATTTACACAAGTAATAGGTTCCTAAAATAGGTTGTAAGCCTAGGTTTGGAGCCCAAATATATAAAACTGCAAACCAAAAGCCCCTGCTGAGGAATCAGTGCCCAAAACCTCTAAACTCACAAAGTCCATAACTTTTTAAATAGCAGGATCCTGGAAACTCATAATTCTGATATTCAGCATAAGCAGAAACTTCTCGGTATTAGACAAATTTCATCTGTTTATTCAATAAACCCACTCTGAAGTAACAAGTATTAGTTTCTTACAATCTTCCCAAGTAGGAGACACACACAGTGCTGCAGTGATTTCTTCTTCTTCTGTTACATATAGGACAGGAGGCGCTTAACAGTGTATCAGAAAGGTTTTGTCTAGGCCCCAGAACATACATGTTCTGTGCCATCTGCAGCCTGTGAGTGCACCCAGCCTAAAGCCCCGCCTGCCCGCACTGCTGATGCCTGCAAGCGAACTGGTGGTCACGGCATCTAAAGTTTCTCCAAAGTTCACAAGAGGAACATTAGTAACTGCACAAGTGAAATGCATTCCAACAGCCTGGGGTCTTTCCTGAGAGCAGAGACCAGGTTCATATCTGGGTAACTGTTCCTGCATTTTACCGTGAGACCATCCCCACGTGAAGTGCATAACCATTTCTTAAATCACAATTTAAGTATCTCCATCAGGTTTAAAGTGATCTTAATATAGTTATGGTACAATAATATCAGCTAGGTATCCCAGAACTCAGTATCAGAACACAAACACTGCTGTAAAGCTTTTTTAAAAAAATAAAACCATAAAAAACAAACCAAAAAATCCCCCCCATAAAACCCCACCAGGAAAAAAAAAAAAAAAAATCTAAAAGAGCTTCATAGACAGAATACTGTAGTATCCCTATCTTTTCAGTATAAATGTAATACCTCTGTTCTGAAATGAAGGTATTAACCTTTCTGAAGTAAGGAAAAGAGCAGTAAGATTGGAAAGTAGTAGTACATAACAAGGGTATTTGCTATACCCCAGAACAGCCATTATAAGACTTTTAATCCCTGGTAAAGGAAGGATTTAAAATATGTGTTTTTCCTCAGCACTCCCTCTAGGCTGGCACATAGCAGCTACTGACTCAGCACACTGCACTCTGGGATGCTTAAATCTCCTTATGCTCTACCTTGGGAGTCTATGGATTGGATCCAGGGCCCTAGATGGCAATCTCAGTTAAGTTCTCAGAATTCAGTATTTTTGTCTCTAAGACAAAAAAGAAGGTAAAAAACCCCCACACCACCACACCCCCCCTCCCCCCACAAAAAAAACCCCAAAGTTTCCTCATTACCTTTTTCTAAAAGCAGAATGATGTGTCCTAATGGCCATTACCATAATTTTGAACTAAACTGTCATACCCTAATACTACTGTTGTTACTTCTTGCCTACCATAAAACTTACCTACCTTCCTTGCCCTCCATTTTAATTTCTTAATGGCTATTCACAGAAACCATCATAAAAATAACTGCATGTGCACAGCCTGGCTCAAAACTCCTTTGTTTATAACATATGAGCTAAGCAAATCAATCAAAATGAGTGACTGTCCGGTGCAGAGTACTATTCCAGCCATAAGTTTAAACCACTGCTTAGAAACTACAATGTTCTGGAGGAGCGTATGAGCTATCTCCTATGTCCTTTTTATTCACATATTGGAATGGTCCTTAGTTAACTCTTGTCTCAAAGGTAGACCAAAATCCTGTGTGTGTGAATAGCATGAACCTACTGGAACTATGAGGGATAAAGAAGCAGGACTGACCCCTGGTTACCTTATCTAATCACCCACAGAGTGACTCTCTTATCTATGCACGCGCTGTTCCCTTATGCCGCTTGACGGTATTTTAATAGACCAGAACCACTTTGTTACATTCAGCAGTGTATTTTTATAATACTGCATAGTCTAAAATTACACAGCCTGCCACAGGCTAGGAAGCCTTTAGCGTGTATGACTTACTAGCCAATTAACCAAGGTATGTTTATACTTCTGTTCCACTAAGTGCAGACAGACTCCCCACCTTGAAGACAATTATTTTCCACTGCAAATTAGATCATAAAGTTCTGCTTCTATCTTGTAACTGTGATTTTCATGACCACAGTCTGAAAGATTCCAGTTTTTCATTATTTTATTCAATGAGTTTAAAAATCAGATACTATAGTTTGTACAACCTATAACAGCATTCACACAGGCAGCATGACAGAATAATAATAATAATAATAATAAAAAAATCGAGCAAATGCATTTTTAAGGGGTTTTTTTGCCTTTTTCTTTTTTTTTTTTTTTTTTTTAAA